CTTACTTCTACCCATTTACCCTTTTTAGACACAAATATGTAACATAATTAAAAAACGGTTACAAATGTTTTAGATACCAATAGAATAAAGTTTCCTTTAAAATGGCCTCATGCTCAAACACATTTATTAGATCAAGTCAAATAATGATAAAAAAAATTTGACTCAGATGAAACTCTAACTTTTTTTTTTCTCTTCTGATAATTGGGACGTTAATTGTAGACTTAAGATCTTAATGCGTAATGCAAGTCACGTTGTTTATATAAAAAAAAAAAATCGAACAAACACTTACAGCGCTCACGCACAAATCCAGTAATTAGCCGATTGAGAGCCACCACAGCTGCCGGCTGCCATTGAACTTGGGCTGCTGGTTGACCGACAAGCAAAGCAACCAAAAAATAAATTTATTGAAGCAAAAGCTCAATAAACAAATATGTATTGGCCTTTCTGCGTATCGATTTTTATCTTTAAAACACAGACAAGTTGCTTATTGCATAGTCATCCCCAAAGAATTCTCGTCTAAATTGCTAGCGCAGACCGTCTTCAGAGCTTCCGTTTACTTGACCGCCAAAAGTGAAGCGGATAAATTTCATTGGCTGCATTTAAGCAGAAAATAAATAAATTAAATCGTAAATGAAATGAGCAAATTGTTTGAATGAAGTTGTTAGTGTCTGCACGCGCTACTCAATGACGTTGCAGCCAATTTTGGTAGCAAACTCAAGTTGCCGTGCGGCTCAGCTGGCCGCAATCCAAAGTCTCGTGCGACGACCAAGATGGCGCTTCTGTGCGCAGGCCTGTTGCCGTTGTTGACTTTACTCCGGTTGCTTTCCGTCCATCCGCCGACATACATAAATCGCAAATGTTATGCTTTTCTGTGGTTAACAACTTCATTTTGGAGCATTCGAAAGAATCTTTCGAGACTAAAACTTTTGTGATTCTTTTTTTTTTTTTGTTTTGTTTTGGCCACGCGCATTTCCGTGCATTGACAAAAAATGGCACTAAATTTGGCAATTTAGCGAATTGACTGTTGTTGACGGCAGGCGACATGATTGACAGTGTTGGCTGAAAGCCATACAGCTTTGAAAAGTAAACAAAAACAAAATAAAATCACAAAGTAACAAGGAAAAAATACCAATTCATACAGTAAAAAATTTTCGAATTCGAATTATTTTTTCCTAAGATAGTTAGCTCAGATTGTTGCTCCGTTAGTGCTATGTTGCCGTTATGCAGGCCATAAGACCAATGAACAAACGCTTATATATACATAGTACATACATACATTCATACAAGCTCACAGACTATTTAGTTTATACTTGCTGCTCGTTGTTGTGGCATACAAACTGTGAAGTGGTCCATTGAAATTGCAACTACGGACGGCTAAGAGCAACGCCAACAACCAACTAACAGCCAAAATATTTTTAGTTGTCCAAAACTGGTTTAGATTTCAGCAAAGAAAAAATTTAGATTTTAGATCTAATTAATTGCATTCAAGCTAAGCGCTATATAGTTTTTACATTGCGCTTATTGCATTTAACTTTTCTGCTGTGGTATGTACCTTAATTTGCCTGGAGGCGAGTCATCGTATCACCATTGGTCTCCAAATATATCTATGTATACATACTAACTTCATAATAAAGGAAAGAAAAATTATAAATTAAATTCAGTAAAATTATTAATGCCGGCGGCCGCTTTGGTGTAGTGGTTAGCAGTGCGCGCTTCCATTCCGCAGGGCCTGAATTCGAGCCCAGTTTCAGACCAACATCAAAAAATAAAAAATAAAACACAAAAAAGTTTTTTCAAATTGTGTTCGCCCCTCGGCAGGCAATGGCAAACCTCCGAGTGTATTTATGCCCCAAGAAACAGCTTCAAATACAGTCGCCGTTCGGAGTCGGTCATACGTAATGTGACCAACCGTACTTCATTCGAAAGTAAAGTACTTTTTTTAGCTATTGTACTTCGTACTTCGCAGTACAGTCGAATTTACTTCTTTGCAATCTTCTGAACGATCTTCTGGATCGTCGGCCTGGGGGGATAAATTCGTGCAAACCCTACAAGTCGTCGGGGACCCATGTACAGTGCTTTGTCCCATAGGCAAAATTAAAATAAAATAAAGTCGGCAAGCGGAATTGTCGCAGTACAAACTGCTATTAGGCTCACGGAAACCGGGTGGTAACACTCTGGAGTTCTGGAGGGCTTTGACTTCGCCCTCAACACAGAGATTTCAGCTCCTCAGAAATGACTCCCAGAAGCTCCTTCTCAACCTATATTCTCTCAAGAGAAGACGGATCAAAACCTGGAGACCGGGTTGATGATCAGGCTTCCGGACTTCTGCAGCCTCTTTCAGGTAGAAATTGTTGTCATTAAGCAAGCGGTAGACTCACTGCTAAACGGTGTGATGGTGCACTCGAAATCGGTAAAGGAATATCTGGCCTCTCTATCAATTGCGTCGGAGTACTTCTTAAAAAGTCTAGTGAGGGTGCCGAGTCACTACTCTACTAAATACCTAATAAAATGGCCAAAAGAAAGCGATGCTCCTTTTGTGGCATAAAACAAGGAAAAGAATACGTATCTCTGCTGCAGCAAATGTTTTTATGGGGCACTTCAAAATGCTTTTTGCAGCGCAAGACACGAATGACCCACATTGTTGCCCCTTAAAGGTACCTAAAAACAAGTTACTTGTGCGATTGGTCATCACGCGGTAATACAAGGAATTTCCATTCCACACTTTCTTTTAGACTGTCCAACCTTCGCGAGGCTAAGATGAAAGCACTTTAACTACCACTGAGCTCTCAGGGATCGAAATAAGCCGCATTTGAAATTTGGTAATCGACTCACGGCATATAGCCCACTAAATAAGGGGAATCCGTTCAGTTTTTTCATGGTATCACAAAGGATAATCTCTTAATTATCCAAGGGTGTCTCCCTTGGCTGAGGCAACCACTTTAACCTAACCAAACCTAACCTGCACTTCTTTGAGTTATGAAATAGTTGATCACCGTAGCCATTCTACATACACCCATATAATATAAGAAGGCAAATCAACTTTTCTGCGCGTATTGCATTAAAATATTTCCAACAATTCAATTTATAACTCTACCAGCTTCTGCCACCGACTTCGTCTGCATGAACATTAAAAATTAAGCAAAACTTTAATAATAAAATTTATATTAAGTATACACATTTATTTTAATTCATATCGATCTGTGTCGGCAGTGTTATCTCAGAAAACGCTTTAAGAACGCCCTATTTCAGAGTTTCATTGAACAACAAAATCTTTATAATATGTGGTGCGGCTATAATTTTTTTAACCACTGTATGTTCCACCACTAGTTTCATCTAAACTGGTATGCACATTTAAAAGAGTTTGGGAGACTGGTTACATACTTGGATGTTCGAAAGTGTTTTCAAGTGGGTAAAAAAATGGCTTAAATGATGCTTTAAAATCAATATTCCCAGAGCCATTGTCGTTACTATTACTTATCAATACCACAAAGCCGCTAGTCATCGGCTTTGGTCGTTGTTACGATTCCGATCCTGATGGAAAACTATAATATAACTGTATATATGAATTAAATTCGCATAATTTTTTTGGGTTTCTCTAACCCAACTTAACTTAGTTTAGCCAGTTTTGGACATAGTCAAGAATAGGCTGATTAAAAAGTAGGTTAACCTAAGCCAAAAGTTAGTCTACTTCTTAGGCAGTCTGCACACGGTTTGTATAGCTTTAGACGTGTATAAAATTTTTTATGCAGCACCGAGTCCCCTACCCATCAAGATCTGCACACGAAGGAACTTCAAAGCGTCAAAGTATCAGGCAAAAAATGTTAAGTGATGCAAAATTATTCTTTGTTTAATTAATTTTCAGTTATTTTTCCATTATTTGCACGGATTTTATTGTTTTATCGTTTTTTTTTTTTGAATGGAATGCATGCACGCGGAAAATTGTAAACAAACTTCTTTTTCTTTCTCTTTTCTAAACGTACGTACGCCTAGCTACCAACACTGCCGTACGCCAAGCGATTTGCAGCTAGCTTCCTTTGACGAATGCGTGAAGCTGGGGACTCGTATACAGCCCTTCATTTAAATGTATGTACGTGTGCGGCATCAAAGCGTACAACTTTCGTATGTAGCATATAATGCGCGTCTAAAGCTATACGACCCGTGTGCAGACTGCCTTAATCAGCTTATTCTTGACTAAGTCCAAAAAATAGCTAAACTAAGTTAAGTTGAGGAGGAAAAACCAGCCCTATCTGTTTAAAAATTGCCCAACCGTTCAAACGGTATTCGCATCCTCAAGTCTCATTTTTCAAACTAAATTATTGCTAGCACAAAAAAGATAAGCGCTCTTCCTTCCAACCTTCAATGTTGAAATTTATGCAACACGTGCCATGCAGACTGGCATACAGACAAACGTCTAGCCGTAAGTGGACCAACGATGTCGTCGAGTGTAGGAGATGAGTAGCCACACGAACAGACAGTCATAGAGGCAGAGTAGCTGGGGCAATCAGCAAGCAAAGAAACAACATACATATATATTAAGCCGAGACTGCCAAAACTTCAGCACGTCCGTGTTTTTCCAAGTGCTTGCATGAATTGTTAGATAGTTGAATCCATTACCGCTAATTAGCATAAATCGTTGCGACGCGCTGCACGACTCGTGCCAGTAAGCGCTAAGCTAAACATTTATGTACATACATACATATGTCAGGTGATAGGCATGCGGCATGGCGACTGGTGGGGATCTGCGTATATTAATTTATGGATTTTGTTGTTGAAAGAGATGGGCTAGCACGCGCTTAACGTCGGATAGTTGTTATTTGCAGCAATTTGTTGCAGGAGCGGCATACCTCTGGTGTAAAAACAATAAGTGCAAGCGCTTGTGTTCACTTGTAACACTTGCATTCATAAACCTAAATGCCTAATGTCTATAATAAATTTATATTATCAAATTAACTCATATCCGTTGCACTAACATTACTTCTGTTTGTTACTTTTCCCTACAGATGAAGTCGTTGGCCTTGCACTTTATTTCGTTACTTCCGTTGCTGCCGCTGTTGTTGTTGTTGCTATTATCGCAACACACAAGCGCTGACACGCTACAGCCAAAAACAATGTATGCGTCGGCGGAGCTAGAGAAGTCAACTTCCGCGCACATTGGTAAACGTACCACGTCAACAACAACACAACAAGCACCATCGTTGCGTGCGCCACGATTAATGCGCACACCGCGACCAACCACAGTGATGACGCATCCAACAACAAGAGCGCCAGCAACAGCAACAGCAAGAACTACAACTACAACTAAAACGGTGGCGCTAACCACGACAAGGCAGCCGACACAAACACATACACCGCGCCGTCTGCCGCGCGGCTCTAAAGAAAATACCGCCGCGGCACCTACTACGGCTTGGCTGGCGCGCACTGCTGATAGAAGAAGCACAACGACAAATGTGCGCCAAAATCGTAGCTATTTGAGCGCCGCTGCAGCACAAAACTCTCAGACGAGCGGTGCGGATGCGGTGGTGGCCACCGCCGATAGGAGTGCTATTACGAGCAAAATCAACAAACAAATTGACAACAGCCAAATAAAGCGCGTGACACAATACAATAACAAAAACAATAGCAATAGCAGCGCAGATAAAAACAATAAATACAACAACGACAATCAACAAAATGCCACCATCAAAGCAGCGCGCACGAGCGCAACCGTTAAGGCAGCACGAATATCGGCAATGCCGCCATCAACAGCTTCATTGTCGCCATCTGTGACGTCTGCAACGGTGGCTACGCTGAACACTCATCGTCACGATGGCGTTTCGCGTCAAGCGTCATCAATAGTTTCCGCGCCAAACGATGCGGTGACGAATCAACACAATCAACCACTCCTNGAAAATCGATCCTCGATTGTTTGAAGATCGCTTTGTAGAATGCTGTGCTTGTAAAAACATGTCCGTTTTTGTGAACAATAATCGTCCGTTTTCCAGCCTTCATCCAATCAGGGGTCATATTCCTCTCATTTTTTGAGGAAAATACGATCTTTTCATTTCAACTTCGCAAACGTCATCCTTAAATATCATTTGCTTTTCTTTAGATTTTGAGTAGTATGTTAGGTTAGGTTAGGAGGGCGTGTGTGGAGACGGAATTGTCCATTGTGACTGCCCTATTTAATTGAGTGTCAGGAGAAGACAAGTACCTATAATCAAAAGAGTATAGAGAGACGGAGAGAAGTGCTTGAGGCGATTCGTCGGTAGACCTGGACATCCACACAGAAAGTGGTCAATTGACTCGTCCTGATCCTCATCATGGCAGCCTCTGCAGAGAGTACTTGTTGGTATTCTCCACCGTTAAAGCATTGGTGCTATATCACAGTGTTCTGTGATGACGCCGGTAAGGATTCTTACCGCAGACCTATTGAGTTTCAGTGTTTTCCTTGTCTTGTGGCCTCACAGTCTTCCCGTTTGTTACACAACTAATTCGTCAAAGCCACGGTGTATTCATTAATTTTCCTAGCGTGATCACTAAACGGTGGTAGTACGGAGCTATCCGCTTCTTCTGTTGGCATCTCTCAGCCGCATCTGTCCATCTCATCAGCCGACGACTCATTCCCTTCAATGTTGCCATGTCCGGGGACCCAGCATAGAGTGACGTTGGTACGGCTCAGTGACGCCAGCGTGGTGCGACATTTCCATACAATTCCCGCTTTCACTATTTACATCCTACTGCCAGAGTGCTGCTTGACTGTCGACGAAAATAGTCTTTGTCTCCTGGAACTCTACTACTAAGTAAAACACTAGCCGCCCCCTCTATAGCTTAGATCTCTGCTTGGTAGACACTGTAGTCGTTCGGTAGACGAAAGGACCGGTTGATCTACAGGTCCTTCGAGTAGACACCGGCTCCGGTTCCTTGTTCCATCTTTGAACCGTCAGTGTAGATGGATATACCGCCCTCTGCTACTGGCAGTCCTGCGTCCCATTCTTCTCTAGTCGGGAACCTAATGGGTATCTTCGTATTTAAGTCCCAAACAGGCGTAATATAATATGCCAAAACATGCGAGTCTTTGCACTTTTCCTATTATTTTTGTGTTACTCCCTTTGTCTAGAGCCTTCTACCTTACAAAGGACCCGTGGATTGCAATTGGGCTGACTTACTAAGCTCAATATAAATCATTTTCCCCAAACCCCATTTTAGTCATCACAACTTTTTTTTGACAATTCACAATTTAAATAATCCTTACGCTATTAAATATTGTCAGGAAACTTTCACTGGCTATTATACGCTAATTAAAAAACTTATATTGCAAACAATGCACATATGTTATACCAATTACCATTTACAATAACCTTTTCTTCACCTTTGACTATTTCTTAAGGCCGCGCATGATACAACGACTCGTAGCGGGTCACATACAAAACTCCGAGGGCCGTTCGACATTTCAAGTCTCCGCCGTCACAGCTAACAGCACTATCTCTAATTCAACAACAACCCACAAGCCTACATATCAATATGTACGCTCCAAGGGAGGACAATTAACTATGAGCAGTACCTATCGTTTGGCTAAGGTGAGCACCACTCCTGCAGCAACAACAAATACAGCAACGACCACAACTGCAAAGCCTTTTTACTTGAGAAGAGATCACGATGACGATGAGGCGTTACTGGAAGATGCCGAAGAATTCAGTAATTGGGATAATGGTATCTTGCGACTTAGCGCCGGCTCTGGAAAGGAGAACACAGTCAAATCGAAGAAGAACAAAGATGAATCGAAGAAAACACTTTCCGATCAAGTGCGTGACGGCAAGTATGGTTTGATTGAAAAAGAGCTATTTCGTCGTCCACCCAAACGGCCTGGTGTAATTAGTTACTTGCCGAATAAGGAGACGCCCATAGATAATGAACGCACCTTTGGTGGCCTCAATGAAGAGGATATCTGGTTGGCTGAAGATCATTTGCTTGTGATCAAGGGTGGTAATCTCAATGAGGGCGAACCGGATGAACCGTGGCCGCCCATCGATGATTACGATGCGCCCGGTAGGCAAATCAAATTGCCGCCGAACCCGAAAGTGCCGCCACCATTTCCTGTCCAGCTCGAAGAGAATGGCCCGCTACAGTTTATCGGAAATAATAAATTCACGGTCGTCTATCCGGTCGCTAACGAATCGATACCAGTTTATCCCGCCGGCCCGGAAGCCAACTACGCATCGTCCGAAGGTGATAGTGACAACGAGAAGAATCTTCTTACCCGGCCGGGATCGTCTCAAGATGCTGCACAAGGCGACCCGGGTTACCTCTACCCGGCGCCCTACCCGCCGTGGCTCTATCACAACCAAACGTTTGTCAATCCGTTCCTGAGCAATGCGCGGCCCATCACATTCCCCAATTTGGGTCCTTTCCCACTTGGACGAAACGGTTCGTTGGATAACTCGAATGGCACTGACTACTTCGACGAAGATGATCCATCCTTGTATTACCCACCTGCATACACTTTTGTTTACAAGAGTAATTACAGCAATCCGGTGCCGCCGGGACCACTTGTGCCGGGTATTGTGTTGCCACCGCCTGCTAATCAATTCAGCCGTCTGGAAAAGTCAGACAAAGTATATACAACGAATACGCCTCCACCACCCAGGCATCGTCCAAGTACTTCAAGCACAACAACTACCACGCCCACCACCACTTCAACAACAACAACAACAACCACCTCGACAACAACTCAGGCGCCATATCGACCGCAAGTCATCACGAAAATACATCAATATTCGCCAAAAACTATTATCATTACACCAGAGCCGCCGCATGTGGTGCCACCGAGCAAGCTGCCACCTCCACCGGCACCTTCCCCAACCGCAGCTCCACCCGAGGTCATCCAATCCATACCCGTGCCAGTTGCTGTGCACATACCCATCTTTCCCTCCAACAAATATCCACAGCCGCGACCAAATGCCATCGCTTTTGAAGGAACAACGGCACGCAACAACCAGGACACACTTTCGAAATCCAATCCTATTTACTACGAATACTTTGAGGCTAAGCGTCAACCTGGTGGTGTTACTACGAATGTTATTGACGATTTCCTCGCCACAACAGAGAAGCCTGTGCGGGCTAAGCCGATAAAGCTGTATGCGACCAGTAAGCGACCATTCAAATCCCAGCCGCAGAACCAACGTAACTACTTGCCACCACAGCTGCAGCCACAACGACAATACTTGCCACAAAATGTGGTATATATCACACCCAAACCGGAGGCGGTGCGCTATAAACGACCACCACCGCCGCCGCCGCCTGTAGAAGGGCCAGTCTACAAGCCACGCCCACTGGAGAATTTCGAACAAGAGGTGAATGCGATACGCGAAACGCTGCGCTACTACCAGAATCAACAATTGCGTGACAACAGTATACCGCGCACACCCAAAGCCAAGCCAATATACGAGTTCAGTTTCGACGCATCCAAAAACTTGGAACCAGCTCAACCAACGCAGAACGCGGGTGACTTTCAACCGCCAGCAGAATATGACGAAGCGCCCTTCAAGCCAATGGTCACCTACAGTCCACCAGTGGACGATGAGAATTCATTCCATGCAATTGACGTAGAGAAGTCGAATGCAAACCGTCAGCAAGAGGAGCCATATCCACAAAAACAGCAACAGCGTTATCACTCAACCACCACGCTAGTGCCGGTGCAACCCGATACGCCATATCAGCAGCAGCAGTCGCCGCCAGTTGCGCAAGGTCGTCCGAAAAAGCTACGTCTAGGTGCAAAGTATTTACAACAAACGCCTGTGGCACCTGAATATCGCTCGGCTGACCAGGAGCTGCCGCAATATCCGAGCACACCGCGCACGCATATCGCTACCCAAACGCCATGGGTGTCGATAAACCAACAGCAAGAGTTGAGTGAATACGCGCCACCACCGGCGCCGCAACAGCCGCCACCTCAATATCAACGTATAGAGCGTCCGCCGCCGGGCATTTCACCCAAGCAGCGTGGCTTCAACGGCTACTACTACGGCGGGCCAACGCTGCACGCGCGTCAAAATAATCGTTTCTATGAAGAACCGTTCCAGCAAATACATGCGCGACGCATAGTCAATTATCGGCAACCACCACCACCATCGCCGCCACAGTCAAACTACCAGCAACAACAACAACAGCAGCAACAGCCACCACAAACCGTTTGGAGTTTAGAAAATGACACTTACGTGAACTACGCACCAAATCGGCCACCGCTCAATCCCGACGCCGAGTTTATTAATCCCTACCAGCCGGCTTTGCCGCTAAACCCCTACGCCGCCGCGCAACTGCAGCGTTATAACGCGCCGCAACCGCAGCCGCCACCACTTTCCCACCAATCACAGTACTACGCGCCACAACAACAATTAGCGCCGCAACGTCAATATCAACCACAACAAATACCATTGCATCGTGATATACTCGTGAACTACCGGCAACCGTTGCCACCCATCAATCCGGACAGTGAATATATTTCGCATCCGCAGGTGGTGCGACCGCAGGTCTATTCGCCCATCTATCGGCCGAACGCCTACCAACGGCTGCCGCCACAATTGCCACAGCTAACCGTGACAGGCGAGCAGGATGGACTCTACTACATAGCACCGAAATATAGGCGATCTAACAATGACAATGACAACGGTAGCAACAGCAGCAATAAAAATAGTAATGACGATATTAGTGATGGCAGTCAAAGTAATGACGGCGACAGTGACAGTGACAGTAAAACGAATGCAAACACAAATGCTTCAGCGCGTGATGGCAGTAACAGCAGTAATGGCAAGAAATAAGGCGAGCGCGTTGCAGCCATGTTAGGAAAAAAAAGTGATGAATATCGTAGGCGGCAAACAAGCCAGACGTGTGGTTGTGAAAGGGTGGTTGTGCCTCACTGAGAGCTTTGTTTGATTGAGTGCTGGTGAATTTGATGAGGATTATCGTTTTTGGGCAGTCGCACCTCTTCAATGGGCATGGTAAACATACTTATGTATGTGTGTATGCATCTATGCTTGGCCGCCTGCCTTCTTGCCGAGTGGTCATTAGTGTTATTTATGTAAGTAAATTGTATCAACAGCAGTAAGGCCATGGCAGTTAAGTAGTATACGGCATGTGATTACGCTAATACATAAATAGGCATAAGGAGTACTAAGGTAAAGTAGCATAACTAATAATAAATTTAACTGATAATATTTCTTAGTATTACCGAAATTACTTTTTATTAATAGTCATTGAAATGTTCTGAGTATTCGTGAAACCTTTAACGATTTTAGTGTTGGTGCACAGCAAATCAGCAAACATAAAATAAAAAAAAAACTATACTTAGCTGATGCCGCCGTCTTTTTACCATTAACAAAATCGCTCTCCTTGTTCACGCTATCCTTTTTTTAATACTCAAACACTTACATACATACATACGGTGGGGAAAATGAAAACAGGGTACTATATATTTTAGTAAGTTTTTGCTATATTTCTTTGCTTAAAAATTTTGTATGTTTTTTATGAAATTATAGCTTAATATCTAAACAAAAACATCTTAATCCAAATTTTAAATTTTGTAGAACATTTATAAAAATTTGATTTAACAACTGTTCGTCGAAATTTGAAATTTTTTAATCAAATTATTTAGATTTTTTTGAAATACGCAGTTTTATAGCCTATTAAATTTTAGTACGATAAAGTGCAAGGTTGAAGGAGCTAGGACTTACTGTTGATTTTTACAAAGTATAATTTTTTTCTATGGAGAAAATGGGTAACACCTTCCACAAACAAAATTGCCAAAAATCATCGGTAAGTCCAAGCTACTTAAAACTTGCACTTTAGTATACTAAAATTTAATAGGCTATAAAACTGTGTACTCCAAAAAAATCCTATGAACAGTTGTTAAGTCGAATTTTTATAAATGTTCTACAAAGTTTAAAATTTTGATATTTTTTTCCAAATTGAATGAGCTACAAAACTGCATACTGAGAAATTTCTAAGAAATCTAATTAAAAACCTAAAAATTTGCATGATTCTTTGTCGTATTTTCCTAATTTTTGTACAAAGTTAGAAATTTTGACTTTCATGGTTTTCGTTAGATAACGAGCTATACTTAAATAAAAAAAAATTATAAACATTAAATAAACGAAACTGAAATAGCCAAAGATTGCTAAAATGTATCTTCCATATTTCTATTTTCGCCACTGTATAGTCTAATTTTTCGCCCCGATTCTAAGTTGCATTAATCATTAATGAGCTCACACATTTCAGACATAGGAGTAGAAAATAAACTAGCGATCCGGCAGACACGGAATCATCCGTATTTAATTGTAGAATTATTTTGGTTTCTGTTCCGCAAAATGGAAAACTTTTCGTGCCGATATTTCATTGAACGAGATTTGTTTTTTAGGTTCTTAAAACTTGATTTCCTAGTTCAAATACCAAACAGAAAAATGTCTGTGGAAATTACGCCGATACTATGTGCTATGTATATTTATGGAATATAAATTACATAACTTAAGTATGCTTAAACCAGGTGCCGAAAATAATCATTAAATACCAAGATTTTTATACTTAGCTATCGTCAGGGAAAATTTTCCCGTTGGATAAAAAAAAATTATTATATTTTTTCTTTTTTGTATGTAATGAATTTTAAAAAGTTTTACATAAACATATTTTTTTTGCTGTTAAAAATTTACTTTGTATTTCGTTTTTAACGTCAACGTAATTTTTTATTCAGCGAGACCTTCAAACTACCTTTAGATGTAAAATTTTAGATTTTCTCTCTTCTTTCACCTAAAAAAAAAGCATAAGAAAGTACTTTTTAAAAAAGCTGCAAATGTGTTTTTCGGTTCTTGCTAGCTTTGAAATGGTCTAAATGTTTTTAAAAAGTTCATTGCATACACTTTTCAGGTCAAAAAAGGAAAAACAATTTAAAACTCCCTATTTTTAAAGGTCAATGTAGTATTTTTTTCTCCATTTTTCTCCTAAGGTACCTTTTTTTCATAAATTCGCCACCTCAAAAGCTTAACAATACTGTTAAATTTAATTTGAAAGCTGCTCCCGTTCTTGAGATATTCGATTTTGTAGCAAAAAAGGTACTTTTGAAAATTTTTAATTTTAATACTAATTGGGGACTAAAAATGTCAAGCAAAAAAGTATATATATATACATATACATATTTTACTAATACTTTGCCATGCTAGCAAAATGTTATGGAACTTTAATTAAAAAATGAGTAGTCCACCACAAAAAGTACTTCATATTCAATACGATTACCATTACGGTTTGTTTGAGTTTAAAACCCTTTTTCCCAAAAATTGTTGTAAAAAAAGTTTGCCAAATTAAAATAAAAATATTGTCTAACGATTTTAGTCAATTTATTTCATACAACTTTCATGATCATAAAACTTTTTGGCAATTCTTTTCATAAATATGATTTCAAATCGTTTTCAATGGCATGCAAAACGCAGTTAAAATTCTGCTTATAGTCAAGTCTAACTAGTGACTACTACGCGAATGCTGGTGTTACATGTACATATGTACGCATATATTTATTTACATACATTCATATGTATGTAGAATTAGAACTAGCGTTGATAATGAATATACATATGTACACTTCCGTGCACTTGAATATGGGAAAAAAATTGAATTTTTTTCCTGAGCTATTTTTCTTTTATGTATTTAAATTCCATTATTTTTTAATTAAAATACAGATCTTTCTCTAACAAACACCAAATAAACGAAAGTTTCAAAATTGTTTTCCTATTCAAGTGCGTGGGGTGTATATATGTAGTTATAAAATTATTACAGGTTATTTTAACAATTAATTCATTATTTTAAAATATCTCTTTAGTTAATATCCTTAATAAAAACAAAAGTTCTAACAAAAATTCTTAAACTTTTTTAAAACTTTCTTTTAAGATTCATTAAATTAATGAAAATACCCATAAAATATATAATGTAAGACAACCTCAATTATACCGATTTGAAAACCGATTTAAAAATTTTGTAAATAAAAATAAATAAATAAAAATTACTACTCGCTTTTAATTAATATTTAAACAAAAACGAAAAAATAAAATTACTAGAAAAAATTACTAAGAATTTATTGATAAATAATTGCACTAAACTAAATATTAATTTAGTGAAAATAGTTAAGTGATTTATAAGCAAGCCTAAATAATATATGTATTTAACTCAGCCATAACTGTAACGATTTTCAGTTGTAAAAAGGCATTGGTCAACTATGTAGGAGAAAAATTTAACGAAAACGAAAGTGTTATGCTATATTTATATTAAAATATATTAAAATTAAAAGTTTATAAGTATATTGCCCTTATCGCCAGCAAAACTATTTTTAATTTATAGTTTAATAAGTTAATTTATATTACGAAGAAACGATCTGCGAAACGTATAGTTATATACAAAAACTTTTATTCAATCATTCGAAAATCAGACGAATAAAAAATTACTAAAATTTACGAAAGGCTTTCTTTACTCTCTATTGCCTGCTTATATAAATCAGGTAAGTGCTTATACTACATATATTTATAAATAGTATATCTATACACTAATAAACAGTTGAATTTATATAGGTAAATATGTTCGCTAATTTGTACATAATTGTACACAAACACCAGAAAGTCAATCAGGCAGGTCCTGCAATGCAAATCAATTCCGATTCATCGAATTTTAGTTCGGTTGTAAGGAGTGGTCATAACATGCGCTTCAGCAGAGCAACCAACGACTGATTAAGGCATCAATAAACCTTATACTTGTATATTGTATGTATGTACACATGCACACTGTTCAAACATAACCTTCGGCCAAATACAAAACTACTAAAGACAAAGGGCCAACAAGACGATATGTATAAAAATAGGAAATTTATGGATTTTCAAGATAGCTATGAAGGAAAAAAGTCGTACGACCGGTGCATTTGTGCTTCAAAAACTTAACTCAATCATATCTTCGTTAAAAATGCAAAGATCTCAAAGACCAGGATATGGATTTGAAGAGCATGCGTGCAGCTGTCTAGCAAAAATATTAGGTCTTCAATATCAACAAATTTTATACAGTTTTTAAAGTCTGAAAAAAGATTTTATTGTCCAACTTTTTACATTTTCATTGATAAAATTTGAGTTTTTTAACTTTTGTAAAACTCGATGGATAAATGTGAATCACTAAGAAAATTCTGAATAAAATGTAAAAGAAATGTAGCCAAAGTATGCGCAGTAAAATTTCAAAAAATCGTCAAAGTTAAACATATCACTGTGCAGTTGTGTAAGCATCGATATATTTCGCTTCGAAAAAAGTCGTACGACCGGTGCATTTTTGTTTCAAAAAATTAACTCAATCATATCTTCGTTAAAAATGCGAAGACCTCAAAGACCAGGATTTGGATTTAAAGAGCATGCGTGCAGCTTTCTAGCAAAAATATTAGGTCTTCAATATCAACAAATTTTAAACAGTTTTTTAAGTCTGGAACAAAATTTTATTGTCCAACTTATTACATTTTCATCGATAAAATTTGAGTTTTTTAATTTTTGTAAAACTCGATGGAAAAATATGAATCACTGAGAAAATTCTGAATAAAATCTAAAAAAAAATGTAGGCAAAGTATGCGCAGTAAAATTTCCAAAAATCGTCAGAGTTAGACATAACACTGTGCAGTTGTGTCCGCATCGATATATTTCGCTTGGAAAAAAGTCGTACGACGGGTGCATTTTTGCTTCAAAAAGTTAACTCAATCATATCTTCGTTAAAAATGCGAAGATCTCAAAGACTAGGATATGGATTTAAAGAGCATGCGTGCAGCTGTCTAGCAAAAATATTAGGTCTTCAATATCAACAAATTTTATACAGTTTTTTAAGTCTGAAACAAAATTTTATTGTCCAACTTTTTACTTTTTCATCGATAAAATTTGAGTTTTTTAATTTTTGCAAAACCCGATGGATAAATATGAATCACTAAGAAAATTCTGAATATAATCTAAAAGAAATGTAGGCAAAGAATGCGCAGTAAAATTTCAAAAAATCGTCAGAGTTAGACATAACACTGTGCAGTTGTGTCCGCATCGATATATTTCGCTTGGAAAAAAGTCGTACGACCGGTGCATTTTTGCTTCAAAAAGTTAACTCAATCATATCTTCGTTAAAAATGCGAAGATCTCAAAGACTTGGATATGGATTTAAAGAGAATACGCGCAGCTGCCTAGCAAAAATATTAGGTCTTCAATATCAACAAATTTTATACAGTTTTTTAAGTCTGAAACAAAATTTTATTGTCCAACTTTTTACTTTTTCATCGATAAAATTTGAGTTTTTTAATTTTTGCAAAACCCGATGGATAAATATGAATCACTAAGAAAATTCTGAATATAATCTAAAAGAAATGTAGGCAAAGAATGCGCAGTAAAATTTCAAAAAATCGTCAGAGTTAGACATAACACTGTGCAGTTGTGTCCGCATCGATATATTTCGCTTGGAAAAAAGTCGTACGACCGGTGCATTTGTGCTTCAAAAATT